GGCGGGAATTTTAATATCAGAAGTCATGATGGGCTCTGATGATAGAGATTGAAGATGCAGGGATAGTGAAATGAAAGAAGGAGAGGAGAAAAATACGAGATTCTTCACTCCCTGGAGTGTCACGATGAAAAGTTGGCGCAATAAAGAATAAATATTAAAGTTTGTATTTTATTATTGGCGGCCCTGAATTCATAGCAAGCCACCTGAGTTTCACCCTGTGCTACATGAAATCTGTCAAGGCATGAAGTTGTTTATTTCTGGCCGAGGTTCTTACCCTTTTCTGTTTTAGATGTCTTGGAAGAGAATACCTAGCTGCAGCAGACGACGCCATCATAGCGGCTTGCGCGGGGTCCGAACCAAGGCCTGTAGGAATAAGATTTACACTGTAATCCTCACTGTAAGGTAGCTAGGTACCTAGGTATTATGTAAGACAAGAGACCCGGGAGTAGGGTTTCTAAAGTACGTACTTTATTTTAAGATACAGTATGATACACATACCCCTGTAAAATGCGTATCATACGTATCATACAGCGGTTCGGAATTACTAATATCCACGTCACATGATACCCCTTACGGTTTCTTTTACTCAAATACATGTAATTATTTAATTTAATTAATTAATTTATAATTACCCACGTTTTTTAATTTAAAATTTAAATTTTTTTTAAACGACGTTTATATTATAATACGTTTTATTATTTAAATATTAATATTTTTAAAAATATTATTTTTATTTATTATATTAATATAAAATTACGTATTATATAAAATATATAATTAATTTAATAAAAAATTTTAAATTCGTATTTATAAAAAAGTAAATATTAAATAATACCTTATAAAAATACTAATTTTACCCAAAATTAAATGGGGCGGGTATGTAATATACGTACCCGATAAGTAGTTCCGTTCCGACGGTACGGGTTTTAAAATAAGGTGTAATAAAATACAAGAATAATACTGTATTTTTACAAAAGGTATCATACACTCAGAAACCCTACCCGGGAGACCTCTTCAAAGCACAGACCACTTTAGCTTGCCCTATCGGCCTAACGAGTCTCCACTTCGATTTTCGATACACCAAAAAGTTCGTATCAAAATTCAACGAACTTTTTTCTTCCTTTTTTTCCAGCATCAATCGCAACGCTTCGCCGGCAACATTCGACCCTCAACCACCTTAATCGACAGACGCAGGATTCGACCTCTTTGCGTTCCTATTAAAACTCAGTAGCAATGGCTCCCCAAACAGTATGTATCACATGACACCGCTTTGCTGTTGGCCCAGTCTCTCTGGCAATCAGCGAGATCATGGCGTAAAGCAGTAGGCTAAAGTCAAATTTTCATCATGTAGAAGAAGTCCGGCAAGCAGGCCAAGACGACGAAGAAGGTAAGCAATTCCCATAATACTTATTTCTACCACAGCATACATAGTAGTTACTCACAATACGCCTCAGTTCGTCATCAACGCCCAGCAGCCCGCCAGCGACAAGATCTTCGACACCGCTGCCTTCGAGAAGTTCCTCCAGGACAAGATCAAGGTTGAGGGCCGCACTGGCAACCTCGGCGACACCATCGTTATCCAGCAGGCTGGCGAGGGCAAGATCGAGATCATCGCCCACAACGAGCTCTCCGGCAGATACCTCAAGTACCTGTAAGTTCTCTTAATTTTTCCAGGACTTATTTATAAAATACAAGGCTTCTAATTCGCATCAAATATAGGACCAAGAAGTTCCTCAAGAAGATGCAGCTCCGTGACTGGCTCCGCGTCGTCTCCACCTCCAAGGGTGTCTACGAGCTCAAGTTCTTCAACGTCGTTAACGACGAGGCTGATGAGGATGAGGATTAAGTGGACACTCAATCATGATAAATGGGGAAAATTGGCGATTGTGCGTGGACTACTGTGTAGGACAGGCACTTCGATGCTATGATACGTACATAGAGTTGAATTCTCAGGAATAAAATCGCCAATGCCAACAATAACCTTGACTTCTTGATGTGATTTGGTATAAGCGCAATTCATAATCCTTTAACTAGGTCACATAAATTCGTAAATACATGGTATCTTATATATTATGGCAATGCTCTCATAACACCTTCGAAGGCTACCAAAGCCATGGCATTGGCAGGGAACGCCCTCAAGAAACACGGCAAGAACCCTCGCCAATACCCCTTAGCACCGCCCTCTCTATATACCGCTTGCGCCGCTTGCAGCCAATTCTTAAACCTGGGTGTCCCGTCATTAAGTTTCCCACCCATTGGATCTGTCATAACCCGTTGCTTAACAACGTCGCTGGGGTAGCTCGTAATCCAGAAGACCTGCGCGCTCAGCCCACCCGCCCAGAAATTAATCGCCGGTGCGCTGAGGTTCGTGCGGTCCCTCAAGAGGCGCGAGAGGATGTCGTAGGAGCCCCACCAGAAGAAGAAAAAGGAGCGGAACAGCAGCGTCGAGAATAGACCCTTGTATATGCCGCGGACGCCGTGGGCGCCGTAGATCTTGCGCACGCAGTCCACGGGCCCCGAGTACAGGCGCTCGGTCTTCTTAGCCGAGTACTGGATCTGCAAGCGGGCCTTGACGTGCTCGACGGGCGCCGCGATGAAGCTCACCGTGCAGCCCGCGAGCACGCCCGCGAGCCCGTGGCCGTACGACGGCAGGTGCGCCGCGGCGTGGGATGTCGCGGCGATGGGTCCCTCTTTCTCGGGCCGGACGTTCGGCGGCGTGGAAGGGGAGTGCGGCGTCAGGTGCCGGTAGAAGACGTGCTCGGCGAGCAGGCGGCGGTACACGGTCAGCGACCCCAGCATGATGGAGTCCATGAACATCCAGCCGACGAGCGGGGGCGTCGCGCCTTTATACAGCCCGCGCACGCCCTCGTTGCGCACCGTTTGTACGACGCATTGCAGCGGCCCGCTGAAGCGCGACGAGTCGGTGGTTTGTAGGCGGACTTTGACCGTGTCGAAGGGGTGGCCGACTATAAATTATCATGCCATATTAGTATAGCGTTAGAGAGCTACATGATAATAAAGAGAGAGTGGGGAAGCTTTACCCGATAGCTTGGCGATGCCAGAAAAGACGCCGGCCACGAAACCCTTGTAGTTTTTGTTGTTGGTCTCTGCCGGTTTCTGCTTGAGGTCGGCCGCCATCGTACGGGCTGGGGGCTACTACATTGGAGTCTAAAGAGGGGAAGAGGAAGGTAGGTAAGCCAATTTTATTTCGAGAAGCCTTTTCTTCGTTCGAATTTCAAATCGAGACAAGTTCCGGACTTGATGGCCGAATTGGTGCCGAGATCGGCGGCCGGGCTTTAAGATACAAGGTTCTCGGTCCGCGCCGTGGACACAAAGTCTTAAATCATGACCAATTATATTTCATCCGTTGTTAATACTGAAGAACTGTGAAGATTAATTTATGCATTAGTGTTAAATGAACAGTTATGACGTCGGTCCGTCTAATAGGTATCAGTCTGATATTCCCCTCCCATTCCATTCCTATCTCCGTAAATATCGGTGGGAAATGTAAATAAGCTCAAGTTACGACTTGATAATCCAATCTATCCCAGTGAATAATCTCAACTCCAAAATAGGCAGCGCCGTTTTCCCTCAAAAACCTAACGATGTCCTTGCATGCTTCTATCCATAGCCCCTCGTCCTCGGGGCCATATTCGCGCTCGTTTTCATCCCAGGCTACTACCATGATAGTCGGCACAGAGGCTGCATCAGACCCTCCCATCCGTCTATTGGTAGCCTCAAACTTCATGGACCATTTATCTCGTAAGCCTTCTTTCGATCCTAAGAAGCAATCCCTTACTCTCAATTCTTTGATGGTATCTTCTAAGTCGCTGGTCAATTTTCGTTGTCCGTCTCGCGGTATCCACGGCTCCAGATTCGGATAGCATACTCGCTTTTGTTCCATTTTAGAAAAGGGATACGCTTCGGCTATTTTCCATGTCTCGTTCTTCTCCGCGATTATTGGTCTGTTGATGCTAAGAGGAAACGTTTGTGCCCTTTGAAGCATTCTTGTATATAATTTTCGTGGAATTTACCACGTAAGTACGTAGAGCTGTGAAGTTGACTGAAGTGTTCAATTTGTATAACCAAATTAGTTGGTAAATCTTAGAACGATGGAGGATGTGATATATGCGGTAAATCTTCTTTTGATGAGTTCGAGAGCCTGAGTAAGGGTTGGTACAGTTATAAGAGTTGTGCTGATGCTGACGCAACCGGAAATAATCACCAACATTGGATGGTAAGAATATATTATATGGTAACCTACCTCAGTACCAGCAAAGGTTGTGTTTACCTCGAAGATACCCTACTAATAAACAGGACTCCGTTGGTACTCATTATATCAACGGTAACTTACTCTTAACTGCCCGATAAGTATCAACATATATATCATATCGATGGACTGCAAGCAATTGAGTTATGATCTATCTAGAGTTTATAGTGACTGCTCTTGTTTTTATATCCTGTTAGAGAGACAGGTCAATGAGTTCAAGTCAGCCATGCTGGAAAAGTGCACTATTGATTAGGTACTTATTAATCAAGGCTCGATATTAAATCAGTAAACTGAAGGGGGTGTCCTCATTCTACTTGTTCTTCTGCTGATAACATGGAGTGGTTATGACACTCCTCTCCTCCCAAGGAAAACCCCACGATCTCGAATACGAATATGAACTAACAGATTTGATTTGGGTCTTACAAACAACAATCAATCTTCACCGGCCGAGTTGACATACCAAAAAGCCATGACTAAGAAAGCACGAATGCCTTAAAGGGAATCATATGTGATCATATCTAAGTTCATATCCTTAGATAGTTTAAAGTAAGGAAGAGATGCATAAAATATCCTGATCTTTTCTTCTTATCGATTAGTAGCTGGTGTATCTTCAAGTCAGATGATAGACTTCTACTGCATTACTAATGCAGATAAAAAAAAATTAAATCAAATGCTAAGCGAGTTGTCCCACCACACACACAACCCCTCGCTGGAGGAAGCAAAAAAATGATGACCACCCTGGGGCTCGAACCCAGAATCTCCTGATATCTTGTCAAGTGTGTTGGAGCACACTCGGTCGTAGTCAGACGCCTTACCATTGGGCCAAGCGGCCTTGAATGCAAATTAGAAATGTTACGGTATATTATATTGGTTGTTTTTACAGTAAGTAGCATCGTCACATCCGGTCTGTGCGCATACACCCCTCGTTTTCTTAAAAAATGTTACCTTCTTTCACCACATGCAATGTGAGTTGCTAATATGTTTATCATACCTACATACAATGCTCCTCGCGCTGTCCTACCATATGATCGAGGTGAGCGTCATCAGAAACGATTATTAATCTGTACTTAGAATTAAATCAACTCGAAGCATGGACGATTCGGGTTGCTATGAAACAGTACAGCATATCTTTCGCTCTGACTAATGCGCTACATTTGGTCGGGTCGGGTGTAGCTGGAGACAGGTTGCGTCTTTCACTCCGAAAGCACTCGGGACATACTGCATAATATATACCTATACCTAGGTACCTACGCATAGTAGGTAGATTACATACTGCAGATTAGGTACCTATGTAGGTATCTAAGAAGGTACCTATGTGTATAGCCTACTAAGGTAGCTAGGTAGATTCAGCCCTATCGCCCTTCACTCCACCACCGCGCTAAATCTTTGGCGGATACTCCCAAGAAGCCCCATTAATTGCTGACTGCAGTTCGGAGCTGAATCAAAGCCAATTTGTCTCTACGGTTCTAGAGTCTCGGCCAATCTTACCATAATTATCTAGGTACCTATCCACCTCTTAGCTATGATACTTACAATCTCTTGAAAAGGAGTTTCTCTATTATACGAATCACTTAAATAAACGATCTCTCGATATTTGACTCAAGACGCGTATGAACTTCTCAATAAGCCTGGAGAATAAACTAGTAAAAGTTCGAGGTGCTGAAGCAAAAGCAATTACACCCAAAGAAAACCATCAAGCCATCTCAGAATAGGGCCCTGGCAGAGTGGCTGCGCTTACAGGGCTCACAAAACACACAGGGCTACGTGTCCTGCGAGCGTGCAAAGTGTCAGTCGAGGTCCTAGGAGAGCAACTAATACCACTGACACCCCAAGAAAAAAAAAAACAAGATGTTTTATTCTCACCTCAAATTGGTTGCTCGGTAATATATAATTATTGATACAGAGTCGTTGTCGCGCGGTGTCCTGGAAAGGCGTTAAACCCTATCTATACACTTATACCCTTCAGGTTCAAATCCTTCGCTCCTCGGCACCCCAGCACTACTCCCGACAAGCAGACTGCATGATACCAATCCGTTACTAGCGAGGCTTATTGGACATGGCTCAGGGTTCGACAGAAATAGAAGCCTACCAATTAGAACTTACTACCATTACACCTAGTTAGCATATATTAAACATACCTTGTAGAGGTCAGCAACCAGGGATCCCTCATAAAATAGTGCCATGGTCCACCCAGCCCGGCATATTCCAGAGCTCATCAATGTTCTTCCTCTCTTTCTTCCCCTCTATAGTTGATCTTCTGCGGTGTTTATCTGTTGTTCGTAACCGACAATGAACCGGCTCCCAGAAACGAATGCTGGTATTGTAACTTCCTGGATCCCCATTACGACAGCGCATCCTCATCAACCCGGCTGCGAGAATTTCGTTTGGAAATTTGTACCGAACGTCATTGCTGCATGGGACCCTGGCTATGGATTGTCAGTTGAAAACGATGCCACTTGTCACCCCAAACCAGTGACGACCTGGTGGTTACAAAATCGTCTTGGTTCCAATCAGCAGACGATATTCAGTCTAGGACCCATTACATGTCCAAGCGATTACTATACTGCCACGATGTCTGCCAAAGATGCTTCAAGCACCTCTGTGGCATGTTGTCCCTTGTGCGTTCAGTTACACGTAATTCTGAAGTAGTATATTGACTATCCATCCATAGAGAATATGACTTCGTAAAATTCATGGATCCAGGAGATACGGGCGAGTGTACGTCGGCTCTCAAAAAGGGAAGCGTGGTCACCTATGCGCAGAGGGACCCTGACTGGAAAATTACTAGTTCCAGCGTCACAGCAGATACAACAGTAGCTGCGATTCCTGTAAACGGCTGGATATTTGCCACTCCAACTGGATCAGCAACAAATAGTGCGAGTAACTGCGACGCCTCCGTGTCAGACGCCTTGGCAAATCACATATCAACGGGGAATTCCAGTTGCGTAGGGTCCGGTGGAGGCGGGATTTCAGGGGGTGCCGCGGCCGGAATCGGCGTCGGCGTGTCTTTGGGTGTCACCGGATTGGCGGCATTAGGCGCTGCTCTATTTATGATGTACAGGACGCGGAAACAAAGCCGGAAGATATCCTCGACAAGCGACATTGCCCAATTCGTGAATGGTAGCGGAAAGGGAGGTATGGATGCTAGCGTGCATGTTTTGCCAACGTACCCTACCGATCGAGAAACACCTAGCTTATCTGAGAGATACCCGCCACACGAAAGAGATGCCTGGGACGCTTCAACGCCGTGCTTACCACCGCCGCAAACATCAAGCACGCACACGCACGCCAGAACAGTTCCCCACGGGGAGATGGATGGTTCTGCATACCAACATATAAAAGAGAGTGCGAGGACGGAATTGGGGACAATGCCATACCAATATACAGACGGCAGAATAATAGGAGCAGAGTTAATGGGGACACCTCGATACAGTTCCGAAGAGGAAATGAGAAGACGGATGGAATTAGAAGGGGAGCTTGACCGAAACGTAAAAGTCTCATTGTCGGCACCATGGCTAGCAACAACCAGGCCCGTACCGCCGTCGTCATCCTCATCATCGTACTATCAACCTCCCCACTAATTTAATTGACAATCGAATAGCAATACTATTGCATGTGATACGATCATGGAGTCCTATGGGGTCTATTTGAAGCTTTTTGGGCGTTATGGTTAATGGTATACCTGGAAATTGAATGGACGCTGTAATTTACTTGATATTACGGACAATATTAACCATGTGTATACCACCATATACCTAGAAGGACATAGGGGATAGCATATACGGGTATGGGTGGTGGCATTATTCAAATTTCTTTATACAAGCTTTGGGAAAATATATTAGGTAGATTTCCTCTAATGAGCCGTCCAGGCAAATTTTACTGTAAATATCAGTATACTAAAATAGTATATCAGCACTGTCTAAGAAAGTAGACACTACCTTTTGGAAATTTCAGGGGCAGGGTGTGGAAGAAAATGGCAGGTCAACGGAGGTATCAAAATATCAATTTTCCATAAGCTTCCCTCTTCTCTTCTACCCGTCATATTTTATCCTAGACTTAGTTCAATATATCAGGACCAACCGAGGCTAGAAGAGCCGCATAGTTCCATATACCTCCTACATAAAGCTTCACTCATCTCTACTTCATATATAAAAGATATACATAGGTACAGATCACATTTTCTGTTATTACACACTTAACGATATTAATGGCATTTAAACGAAATCATGTTTAGTACTTGGCAACGCTTTCTCTGTCGTAGAAAGATTACCTATACCATCTCACATATTTAGAATATTTAAGAACCTGAGGTCAAATCATGTTGTCTACCTACCTATTTAACAAACATTATACTTAATCTCCAATGTGACGGTATAACATAATGATATCTTTGATAGGAGCACCTAGTTGGTTGAGTGTATTCCCGATGAAACTTGGAAAGGGGAATATAGGTATTGAAAGTACTGTTCCTACTATTATCATAAGACATTTTTATCTTAAAGTACCGCATTGCCTTCTCATGAATAAGAAAGCTAGAAAGTCACCCGTCGTTTGGCTCACCTTGAGTAAAGCATATAGCGGCTGGTAAATATCTTCTTAATACTGTATTATATCATTATATCTCATGCTATTGTATAGGACGTACTTACTCACCGTTACCGAGTTAGGAGAGCCAGGGGGAATTTTCACGATTGCTAGCTATTGCAGGGAGGCGGGAGTCTTGGAAATCTATAAGTTGTTTCTGCTAGTCAGGTAAACCTACCAAACATTGAATACCACGTAGTTAAGTAAATAATCAGTATATGTAACTATAGGCTACAGCTGCTGCTGTCCTTTGGATATGATTATAATTTTAAGCCTACCTGCACTCAGTGACTTTCCACTCCTAAGCTAGCTAGCCGCCGAACAAATGTAGTGGCTTATAAGAAGATCTTAAACTCCATGTATCATAGTACGCACATCTTAAGTGAAGAGACAGTCATGTGCAATAAGGGGTTAAAATGTATAAAGCTAGGGAATCTAAAGCCTCGTGGCTGAAGACTCGAGATAAACATCATGTATCAGTGCCGCTCGTGATTTCATTTCATAAAAAATCCTGGCTATGGTATATAAATAAGCATCTTTCCTATTTAGAATTACATCTAGTTAGATATCATTTCGTACGCTGGCTTATACTTAATAAGTATCCGCGCGAAATATACCCAAGGTACTCATCCCCTCCCTTACTCCGGCAGGTTCAAAAGATCGCCAGCTTCTAAAACACCAATTATCTCTCCGCTTTCTACCACCGCCAGAATCGAATCTTCGCTAAAAGCCGCCTCGCTATAGTCGGACGACATCAGGGGTTCTCTAAGCCACTCCGCGGCCTGCGATATCCTCGTGTCGGCGCGAATGCTAATCCACTCGCCCCTTTCGACTACGAGATCGGGAATATCAGATATCGGCCACGCCATATGTGCCGTTTCGAGCCGTCGAATACGTCTCGGGGAGGCGATCGCATTATTAACGCGAGCCCACCCTGATTCTGAGTTGTAGCCCAGTTTAAGTATGTCTGCGCCGCACGCCTCGCCGCGCGAATTCGGCCACTCTGGGATTTCACAGAGAGGGATAGCAATATCGAAAATTCGACGGGGCTTACTGAAGGCCTGACCGATAGCTCCACCGGGATGGTTTTTAGCGAAAACCGGTGCGACAGTTGAGTGTAGTTCCTGGGATGCCACCACCGCAAGCGCGTCTCCTAAAGCGAGAGCCACAGTCGTGGATGTTGTGGGGGCCGAAACACCGAAAGATACGATCTCAGATTCATGAATAGGCGCTGGGAGGAGAATGGCA